AGGAACATTTGTGAACCTTTCTCTGTTTTTGTTGTTTTTAACCGTTTGCCTTAGATGTGATTGTGTTTGTGTGAAAGTCGAAAAAGTTTTGTGGTTAGTAGCAGCTGGAAATAACGGTGTAGGGATTGAGAAAGATAATATAATGGAAGGAGAACAAAATTTACGTGTTTTTGCGTATGTGTAAGAGTGTGCGCGGTTTATTGACTTGCAGGTTAATCACGAATCATATTTGTGTCGCTATGCGTCTGTGTACTCGTTTACATACATATGTCCATGTCTGCGGTAATGTGACTGTGATTAATTAAACCGTACTCCGATATCAGTGGAGCAGATATGGAGTTTATTTTTATAAGCGAAAAAGTATATTTAGACATTTTTTTAGCTCAAATTAATTGGAATATTTTGATAATTGAAATAAAGAGGGAAAAAAATTAAATCCTTTTTTCTTTGAAAAATATTCTCAAGAAAATGTTTTGTGGAGTTGCATCTGGCAAATTTTGGGTATAGAAAAAAAAATTATATTTAATGCGTTATTTAAATGAATATTTGAATATTTATTTAAAAGAACTCACTTCCAAAAAACACTCAATGGGCCAAAATTAAAAACACTTAAATCTATAAAAAAAAACTTATTTCAATGAGCCAGAAATTACAAAAAACTCAAATCCAAAAAATCACTCAATTCCACGAGTCAAAAATTACAAAATACTCTCAAATACAAAAAAATTACTCAATTCAACGAGAAAAAAAATTTAATTTAATTTAAAAAAACACTCAATTCAATGAGTCAAAAATAGAAAAAACTCAAATCCAAAAAATCACTCAATTCCACGAGTCAAAAATTACAAAATACTCTCAAATACAAAAAAATTACTCAATTCAACGAGAAAAAAAATTTAATTTAATTTAAAAAAACACTCAATTCAATGAGTCAAAAATAGAAAAAACTCAAATCCAAAAAATCACTCAATTCCACGAGTCAAAAATTACAAAATACTCTCAAATACAAAAAAATTACTCAATTCAACGAGAAAAAAAATTTAATTTAATTTAAAAAAACACTCAATTCAATGAGTCAAAAATAGAAAAAACTCAAATCCAAAAACACGAATTTTAATAACACGAAAAAAAAATAAAACAAAAATTACTAATATTAAAGGGTAGAAAACGCTCCCTTAACTTAAACACTCAAAAACTCAAATGAATTTGCTCAGTTTGCACTTTCGCGCTCTTTCTTGAACATTCTTTGCTGGTGGTAAAAACTTTCAGGTTATCTAAGCACATATATGTATAAGTACGAATAAATAATAAATTAAGTACATGTATGTATATATGTATATATATCGCAACATATGTACATATGTTATGATAGTACTAAAAGTGACAATGAAATTTTAATATAGTATTAGTTAATATTTTATATATTTGCGCTATTTTAATTCCAAAAAAAATATTAAAAACAAGTATTACCAATAGATTTAGATATAATTTTAAGGTATTTCATTTTTTTATTTATAGAAATTTATTCAATTTAGCACAAATGTATGTTTCTCACGGCACATATGTATTTAAAATCTTAAAATATTCTGTCATTCATACTAATAGTCATTCTTACATCAATTAACTGTAGAAAAATTTATCTTAAATTACTAGAACTCACTTCTATGGCTATTCCAGTTTTTATTTTTTATATATGTATGTATATGTACTCAAATGTAACTGACTCAAATTATTTTTGCTTATTACTTTTATTTTTATACAAAATTGTACAGATAAACACAAATATTATTTTTGAGTAGAAAAAAATCTCAGTCATTTTATTTTCATTTTTACTAAAGTTTTTCTCAGTGTATATACAAGCATATACAAATAGAACTCACTCGAATCCACTTCTTTTGTAGAAAAAAATCTCACTCAGTTTATTTTCACTTTTACTATATTTTTTCCTCATACACTTTAAAGAACTCACTCAAATTTGCACAGTTCGCTTTTTTTGCTGCTTCAGTTTTTTAACGTTTATACAAATAAACTTAATTATAACTCACTCAACTTCCTTTTGTTTATTTTTTATTTTCTTCTCACTCAGTCCTGAGCAAACAGCAACAAATATAATTCACTGAAATCCAAATTTGAGTAAATAAAAATCTCACTCAATTTATTTTTACTGTTACTACAGCTATTCACTTTAAACAACTCACTCAATATTCTCATATTCTCATTTATGATACTACTATGGTTTTTAGTGTTAATACAAATATACTAAATTTTCACTCACTGAGCTCCTTTCTGTTTTTTTTTATTTTAATCCTTAACCTTTGGCACATTTTTTTAAATCAATATTTTTTATTTCATTCATAACAAAAAAAAAATTAATTAAAATTTCACTCAAACTCCTCTTAATTTTTTTTATTTTTATAAATTTTTAAAAATTGTTGCTCCCACCAATTGGCACCTTTTTTTAAATCAATATATCTTTTGTTTTTCCTGCAAAAGTTATAATTAAAATTTCACTCAAACTCCTCTTAATTTTTTTTATTTTTATAAATTTTTAAAAATTGTTGCTCCCACCAATTGGCACCTTTTTTTAAATCAATATATCTTTTGTTTTTCCTGCAAAAGTTATAATTAAAATTTCACTCAAAATCCACTCAAATTATTCATTTTTATAAATTTTCACAAATTTTTGTGTTTGGCAGTTTTTTCCTTGAAAATAAACATATATTTTATTTTCTTTGTATAAATTTTAATGAAAACTTCACTCAAATTTTTTTATTTTTACAAATTTTCAGAAGTATTTAAATCAGCAATCTTTTATTTTCTCTGTATCTTTAAAATAGATGTCGCATTACACTTTTTGTTGAATGTCGCAAATATTTTAATTTTTTGTAACAACTTTAAATTCACTATTTAGTATTAATTTCATTTTAAATTTGTATTTTTTTTATATAATGAATGAGTGAGTTTTCTGATTTTTTTAACTCAATTGTAATTAATTTCACTTTAAATTTGTATTTTTTTTTATACAATGAATGAGTGAGTTTTCTGATTTTTTAACTCAATTGTAATTTACAGTAATTCATAATTATTGACAAACAAAATTAAAAATTGTGCAAAAAACTAGTTACTCGTTTTTTAAAATCACTCAAATCGTTACATAATTTTTACTAAAATTTTTGCAATATTTTCACTCAAGTACTAAATATTTTATTTTTTAACTTACTATGGCATATTTTTTTTAATTGCTTGCAGTACCCAATCGCATGCTATTTTCACTCATTTAATATGTCACTCACACTCACATTCACTGACTCACTCAACCCAACTCCAATAAGCACTAATTTCTATTCAAATTCGCTAAAAATTATTCTACAAATATATATGTATTTTTGTCTATTTTTTCTTCTCGTCTAATTCTAGTTGTGATTACTGTTTTTATTTAAAAGCGAAATGGTTATGTTGATGCAACAAATACAACACAACTTGCACCAAGTGATAAATGCAAAATCTAATAAAAAGAGATAGCACTAATTTTACTCATAAATTTACATACAAAACGATGCTTTAAGAAGTGTATGACACGAATGTGAGAAAGCGTAAACTAACACCAAATAAACAGAGAAAAAAAAGCAAAAAAAAAGAACAAGAAACACATTAATCAAAATAAATTTAAATAATAAGAAATGTAACTATGACAAAGAGCTAAATGAGTACGAACTTGTAAATGCACGAAATTAAACAAAAAATACTAAAAAAAATGCACTCAAACAAATGACCTTTCAAAAGCAACTCAACACCAAGTAGGAAACACAGCAACAAGGTGCTTGAAAAAGTGATCATTACAAAAAGCAAACGAAGAGGAAGCGGGAACTAATAAGCAATTGTGAAGCAAAAGCAACTCAACTCAACTCAACTCAACTGAACTCAACTGAGCTCAACTCATTACAAATAAAACACTCAGGCGTTCGTGAGCAACAATTATTTACACGCTGGCAACATAACTCACACGCTCACAAATGTACTGCGCGCACAATCGGTAACAACAACAACAAACAAGCATAAGAAGAAAAACAAAAACAACTCCAATGTAGTGTTTAGCCGCTCTCAAACACTCAAGCCAGCCAGCACGCACGCTCACATCGTATTTTACTTATAGATAGAGACTCACGCATAAGCGCTTCCAATAGAAAAGTAAAACAAAAAAGTAAAAAAAAGACAGTAGTAATAAAAACAAAACTAGAAAGACTTGAGTACTTATTTTGAGTAGAAATATATTTTGCAAAATTTTGTTGTCACTCGTTCGCTCGCTCACACGCTCACACGCTTGCTTGCTCATACACTTCAATACAGTTAGATGTGCGCTATAAACGCTTGAACGCTTCAAAACCGAAACCGAAACCAAAACCAAAATCAAAACCAGAAACAAATCAAAACATAAATTGTAAAGTGTGTCTGAGAATTGCGTAGGCCTTTTTTTTTACTTTTACCGCTCATAACGTAATGTAATTGTATGCAAGTTGCTCGTAACGTAAACGCACCCAAGCAATAAACACCCAGCTAGCTAGCAAAGACACCTACCACCAATAACACCATCATAATTATCACTATAAATAGAGCACCTAAACGTTTGATAAATATATATATTTTACCACCAACAACACCAATTTTGCTTATAAAGACCAGTCCTTCACCAAATCAGCACCACAACCACCAAAACCACCACCACCACCAAAACCACAACCTCCAGCCAATCACCAGCCTTTTGTAAATCACCAGTAAAGCAAGTGTACGCAAAATTACCGTCACACCAACGCACTTTAAGTGTCACCGTAAACGTAAGCGTAAACGTATACGTAGTTATCAACGTTATCATAAACGTAAGCGTAAAAGTAAAAGTAAGAGTAAGAGTAATAAGCATAACAGCTAACGCCTTGTACATCAACGTCATCGTAGACGTAAACGTAAACGTAAACGTAACATTTTTTGTATTTGTACACCGTAATTGTAATTGTAACCCTTCCCGCCCGCCAAATCCTACACCAGCACCACAATTGCACATTACTATAATAATAGGCACCCCTACTACCACTATTACTACCGTATGGAGCGCGGCGCCAGCGGTAGTAGTCACCATCATCAACATGCTGCCGCCGCCTCCACCGCTGCTGCTGGCCACAGTTACATGACCCACCACGGCGCCGCCATCCCTGCTGACCTTGATTACGAGTACAATACGCCGGGCAAGTCGTCCTTTGACAATCCCGCCACCAAGAAAAAGCCACCCAAACTGAAAGCCATCAGTCGTTCGCTATCGATGGCCATCGACAATTATGCGCCACCTATGGGTGGTGGTGGTGGTGGTGGTGGTGGCACTGGCTCACCACCCACAATGATGCTGGATGACACGATGATTGTCGAACAACCGCTTATACATCGTTCCGCCTCACCGCTGCCGTTACGGTCGGCGCCGCCACAAACGTTAGCGATACCGACGCATCAAATGCATGGCGATGGTAGTCGCGTCGTCTCGCCCGCGCTTTCGGCGCGTCAACAACATCACCAGCAACAGCAACAACACAGCCTACATACGTTTCAAAATATGGTGGCGCATGCGCGACATCAACAACAACAACAGCAGCAGCAACACCAACATCATTCGAGTTCGACTAGCTCGCCTACGTCGCATGCGGTTAGTCCGTTGCCGGTGCGCGTACCGTTGGCACATCAGCCGGACATCTACTTGGTCAGCAGCAGTAGTCTGGGCGAAGATGTGGGCGCGCTCGGTGGTGGTATACGTGGCGGCAGCAGTTCGCCAATACAATTCATCGATGACTATATGCTGCCGCCGTCGTCGTCGTCTCATCGACATACGGTCAGCGCTACGCACCCGCTTAAAAAGAATATGTTTCGACGCTCTGACACAATTGACGTACATCCGGCTTCCACTTTTCAGATGAAGAAAACCCATTCGTTTCACGCACAGCAAGATTCCGCCGCCACAATGGATCAGATGCTGTTATCCGCAGCAGCGGCAGCGTCGCAAGGCTCATCGGCGTCCTCGAGTAGACGTACAAGTTCGGTGCGTGGCAATTTTCTTATGCCCGGACATCCCAGCGGTGCAAGTGCCGGCAAAGAGTTAAGTCGTTCACCATCGCCTAGTCGTCGCGGTTGTCGTTCACATCGTTCGTTCAACGATCCCGGACGACGACCCAGCATCAAACCGGAGTCAGTTGTCGAATCGCAAATACGACATCCATCGCTCAATGACGAACTTATGGAATCGCTGGAGGGTCGTGCAGCCGCATCGCTATTTCCACAACAGAATCTATCACTAGAAAACGAGCTCTTTGTCGAATCACGTTCGCGCAGCAATAGCAGTACTAAAATGGAAGATATCGGCATGGAAGTGGCTGCAGCACAACGCGCCGCAGCTGTTTTGCTGGCACGCAAGAGCTCGGGCTCTTTCGAAGATGGCAGCGGCGCAGCAGTCATGACACATGGCGGCACGCATCCACCCTCAGCGTCGGCGAGCAGCCTCAAGAAGCGCGGCGAACATCCACACACACGTCAGCATAGCTCACAAAGCCTAGAATTGGATGCACGCCCATCAACTTCCGCGGCAGCAGCAGCCGCTGCTGCAGTACATGGTCACTCACCGCATGCACTGCAACTGCATAGCGCCGCTGCTGCAGCCACGGCCGCCTATCACTTTAAACGCGGCGCACAACACGGACGCTCACTCTACCTGTCGCCAAACAACCTCGAAGAGCTGCAAGTACATCAACGGCCCAGCGTACTTGCCGCAGCCGCCGCCTTTCAGGGCACCAACGCCAGCGCCAGCGTCAAACAGGCGAAAGCATTGCACAGCGCCAGCATGCGTTTACGCACCTACCGTGAAACACTGAGCGCGACCAAGAAATCGAAGAGTTTCATTGGCGATAGCGCCTATCCACCCACCGCTGTGACAGGTAACGAGTTTGAGCTCACCTCACCCCACCGACGCAACAGTCGTCCATTGTCCAGTGCGGTTGGCGGCACGGTAGAGGACATCAAGCGTAGTCCACGTCCGTTGGCGTTGACGCCAACCTCCGCTACGGCAGCCACCGCTTTCATGGAGGAGAAACGTCCCTCATTCGAACGTAAACCGTCGCTGACGTACGAACTCAGCGATGCCGCCTTCGAACAAGTGCTACGTCCATTCCATCACAAAGTAGCCGGACGCAAGGCGTCGATGAGTGGCGCTCAAGCGCACAAGGCGCTCAAAAAGAAGTCGCTCAGCGACGAAACGGACGAAGATGAGGAGGCGCATCGCAAGCGTAAACGTATCGTTTGCATTGTGATGACAGTGTTTTTCTGCTTGGCATGCGCCAGCGTACTCGTCGTGGTGTTGACGCTAACACATTCCTCCAGCCATACGACACACCATCCGGGACCGACCAAGAAGATACACTCAATGTCACGCGAGACACCAGTACATTATAACGGTACGCTTTGGGGGCTCAAATGTGCCATGTTTGATAGGGGTGTGGGCCGGAAGCGTGGCCGTGAGGAGGACAGTCGCGATGGCAAAGAAGTGGGGAGGTGTCGCATGTAATGAATGTATGTGTGGCATTAAATATGCGACGCGCTACGCGCACGGAATTGTGAAAAAGCACTGACCCGCACGGAATACGCAGTTGGGCCTTCAACCACACACCCATACACACATACACACAAATATACATATATACATATATATATGCATAACTTTGAACCCCAGCGCATAGTTGCCATTGTCTTCACAAGTTTTATGCAAATGACGTTAGCGTTGTTGCAACCTTGTGACTTGGCGTGTGGCACACTAGTTACACATACACACACGCACATATATACAAAACTAACGGGTTTTGTGAACAATAGGCAGCCACGCTCCACAGCTGCGCTCATTTGCAACACATTTCCGGTGGCGGCGCGCTGCTCATCCATCCTTCAGCCCAGCCAAGAATCAACAGCCTCAGCTCCTCACTTCCGCCACCGTCCAGCTGTCCACCGTGTTTATGGAATATTATATTTATTTATATACCGTTACACATGTGTATGTATGTATTTGTGTGCTCTTATTTTCGAAACGCCAAAGTAGGTTATACAGTGTTGCCACTAATACAATGCCCGCCTTTGTCAGACTTCTGCTCTTTGCAGGCAGTGTTGTTGCCACTTCTGGTGACATTGGTTGCACGCTGCTAGCTGCTGACTGCGTGGTTGGCTAACACCGCCTGGTGTGACGTGCAAATATTAAAAAGCGCACAGCTGTAAACAAGGCACAGAAACAAAAACAAAAAAGAAGAAAAAAACAAGCAAAAAAATACAAAAAACCAAATATAAAAATTCAAAAAATATAAAAATAAAAAAATTAAAAATAAACGGAAAAAAATCAAAAAAGTACGCAAACTAGCTGTTGTTGCCACAATGTTGCACGTTGTAGTCACTTTGCAGCTCGGCAGTTGCCACATGGCAATCAACATTGGCTGCATTTAGGGCATGTCAGGCACAACAACACAAACAAACAGTGTGTGACAACAAAAATATGAAAATGCCAAAAAAAAAATCGAAAATAAAACCGCAGTGCGTGTGCCAGTGTTAGTTGGATATATATGAAAATTGTTGCAACAATACAAACAAGTGCGCGTCATGCAACAACATACATATGTGCTCGGAGCGGCGTGGTAGCCGAGACATGGTGTTTAACTCGCCGTGCTGCAAGCCATGTCATGTGTGCAGTCAATGCACTCTTTTTGCACAGGCAAATACATAATTACATATATAGAAGTATGTACAAACTCTTGCTCGCTATAAAAATATAATATAAAATTTATAAATTTTCATGATGTTTGTTGTTTATACTTTCGATTATAAAATTTTTTCATCGAACATAAGCTTAAAAACCTCAAAAATTAGCTTCGGTATTGGTTATTTGCAAATTCAACACTGTTTTCGTTCGTGCGCTGTTTTGGCCAGCAATTCTACACGAGTTAATGTTATTATAATTATATAACTTATGTCAAAAGTAATAGCTGAAATATTTGAACTTGAGTAAATAATTGCTAAATCAGACATCTTAGAAGACTAACTCATTAAGACAAATTATACTGACCCACCCACTCATCCAATATCTATAAATTGATAAAACTTCGATGGATCGATTATTTTATGTTAAGATATTCTTCATTCGAATTTAAAAAAAAATTAGTACAATAATTTTTGTCCATATTGTATATTGTAAGACCATTTTTTATTAAACATTGCTACGATTGAGGTTAATAATATGGTCTGCAGAGATATCGTGAACAAACTATATTTATCTTTTTTTTTTCTCTCTCTGTCGTTATGTATTATTTTCTCTTTGTGCTTCTGAACGTTCTGAACTAATTTCATGAAGGAATCAAGTTGACTCTCTCTCTCTAGACATAGAACTTGTACAAAATCGTAATCCATTTCGAAGCTCCCTTCTTTTTTAATGAAAAATCATAGAAACTTCAATTTTAATGAGCAATGTTTATTATTATTCGAAAGAACATTATCCGGCCTTTATTTTTTGAAGGTTATCTCTTTCGAATGTTGGCCGCAGCTACGTCACAGATGGTTCATCCGTTGAGTTCAATTTTCCATGACTCGTTCGAGCATTTCGACTGGTGAATGACACGCATGATGTTTTGCTCCAAGGCCTGATTCGAAGCGGGATTATCGGCACAGACTTTAGACTTTGCATATTCCCAAAGGAAGCAGTCTAACGGTAGTATATCACGCAATTTTGATGGTCAATCGACCAGCACAGATCGTGAAATTATCTGTTCACCGAAGTTTTCTCTCAATAAATGCACTGAATGATGCGATTTGCGCGAATTGGTGCCGTCTTGTTAAAACTAAATGTCGCCGAGATTACCAGCTTCAATTTCAAGCATCAAATAGTCGGTTTCCTTGGCGCGCTCATCGCTGAAAAAAAATTGGCTCGAAAACGTCGGATCTTCTGTGAACGTTTCAAGACCCCATAGAGCGAAGCGATGTCGCTTGAGGAGGTCGGGCATCTTCAGTTCTTCCATAAACTCTAATTTGTACGCTTTTAATACCAGATCTCCTCGAAAAATGCGCCAAGTCGTTCCATACGTCAGTCCGAGTTGTCGCGAACGGCGCCGAATCGACTCTCCACGGTCTTCGTGTACACCCTTAGCTTCGGCTGCTATATTTGCTTTCTGCTAACACCAGGAGAAACCCGTTGAACGCAGACTTTTTCGCCTTGGTTTTCACTGACTTTTGACACTTGATCTTTGTGAAACAGCACTACCCTTTTCTTCAAAAGCAGCTGTTTTTTGGCGATTTTGGGTTCGGGTTCATCGTGTGCTATCCACTCTGATGACTGTCGATTGGAGATGGGAATGAACTGTTTTTATATTTCATCCACTGCCACATATCGTCGCAAAAACTCGGGTTTTTTACGTTTATACATCTTCAAACATCATTCCGAATCATCAACTTGCTGTTTTTAGTCAAAAGTGAGGCTGCTCGGCACCAACTTTGCACAAAGCTTTCTCATACCCAAATATTCGTGAATTATATGACATCATCCGAAATTGTTTGGTGGTATTTTTTGATGTTTTCGTCGGTAACAACCGTTTTTGCGTTTATGTCGAAATTTGAGTCTCTTCGTCCTTTGATCACAACATTTAGATATGGAAACTCAAAGATCCGAGTTACCATAGTCTAGGCGTCGGCAAACCTTTATGCCGCATATTTTTGTAAATATTGTAGTAGAAATATAAACAAAAACGCTCTGAACTCTAGTGTCTCCACTCTAGAAAACATCTTTTACATCTCAAAACAAAACAACATTTTTACATCTCAAAAATTGTTTCGAAAGAAAAAGTCCCCACAAAAATTCTTTCTTTCCAATTCGATCAACTACATACAATACCATGCTAAAATGCTAAAACAAAAGTGCGCCAACTTCACCTAAGCAGCTGTCTAACCACTTTCTAAGAGTGTCTACTTTTACCCAAAGCACTGCAATCTTAAATATTTTGTGAAAATCACCCGACAAAAATTGCATGCTGCAAGTTGCATGAATAGATTTTAATTTTTTATTTAAAAGTTTCTCAGCTCGCTTTTTGTTGTTAACAACAACCTAGTTGACAGTTACACTGTTGGGAATCTGTGCTCCAACTCTCGTTTTCTAGCTGCATACCTTGCTCAACTTTGTCATAGTTTTTAGCAGGACAGCTGGTTTTTGTTGCTACTTATAACGGTTTTCTTTACTTTTTTGTTTTATTTTGTTTCTTTTACTTTCATTAAGTTTTTTTTCCTTTCCTTTTTGTTTTGTTTTCCTTTTGCTAATTTTTGGCATTTACTCCTTTGATGTTTTGTCGTGCTTTTAACTTTTTTGCATCTTAAGTACCTTTTAAGTCAAATGTTCTACACGCGAGTGCACAAAACGGTGAAGATACACCGGACAGTAATGTCGTCGTCCCGTGATGTCCCTCGTTGTGTATCTTCGCCTGCTTGCTTTTGTCCGTCCACTTTTGAGTGGCAGTGTTTAATGGTGCGGTAAAAGTTTTTCCCTAAAAAGTGTTGCGGTGTCGACTCGGTTCGATGCATGTAAGAACACCGCCGGTGCCCAGCGGGGCAGGTGCAAAGCATCAGCTTGCATGTCACCGGCACTCGAAATATTATACTTGTAGTTTGTTGTATGCCTTAGATTGGATTTTTTTTTTTTTTTTTTTTTTTTTTTTTTTTTTTTTTTTTTTTTTTTTTTTTTTTTTTTTTTTTTTTGCTTTTTCATTTATTTTATGACGATTTTGTGCAGGTGAAAATATGTTGAATGAAGTGAGAATGCCGAGAAGATTTTCCTTTGCTTCGGTTATTGTGGTGTGAAACTTTACTGAAAGGGTGTTATTACCCAATTTTACTCAACACAATTTTTCTATTATTAGCTCTCTTTTAGTCTTCTTGTTTTTATGTTTTACGATTTTCAATAGAAAACTTTCCGCCATGATTTTGCAATCAATAAAGAATTCAAAAAAGAAAAAATCGAAGGAATTTGGAGAGGACATTAAAAAGACTTTTTTTAGTTTATGAAATAAGTTATATGGTGAATACAGTGCGTGATCGTTGGTATTAATTTTGTTTTTGGCTTTAAATTCGGTCACAATCGTAGCTCGATGAGAAGGTGTATTATCATCGTGAAAAATGTATGTATGAATTGTTCTTAACAATTCCGACCGTTTTCGACGGATGTTCTCACGCAAACGCCTCAATATGGACAAATAGAACTCCTAACTCCCTAAACAAACAATGATAACCTCGATTTTGACTCTGGCGTGGTTTTGTGGTTTCGGCTCGTTTTTCGAATCCATTTCGATAATTGTTGACTTGTTTGCATGCCAAACTCATAAACCCGTGTTCCAATCGGCAGTTATATGCTCTCCATGATGAAGCATGTCCAAGGAGACCTGTT